CCTTTCAGATAATCAGTTCACACGTGGTCGGGCTGACCCCATCCCCTGGATACCTCGCTTCCGTAGGAATAAGAGTATGTATCAAGTCATTAGATACAGTGTGGCTAACATTTTTATTAAGCTTTACTAATTTGCTAAGTGAAATACCAGTTATTTATAGAAGAGTGGTGTGTGTGTGTGTGTGTGTGTGTGTGTGTGTGTGTTTTGTTTTTGAGACAGGGTCTCACTATGTAGCCCAGGCTGGCCTCAAATTCATGGCAATCCTCCTGCCTCAGCCTTCTGAGTGCTGGGATGACAGGGGTGCACCACCATACCTAGCAGAAGGGTGCCTATTTTTGAGTGATTTTTTTTCCTCATCTAAAACCTGGTTAAGAGTTAGGGTAAGGGCTCAGCAGCAGAGCGCCTGACTAGCATGTGCGACGCCAGAGTTCAGCCCTAGCAATCAATAGACAGTGTCACACGGAAACGCCCTCACCCAGGCACACGTGGGAGCTGCTGGTCTTGCTTTGGCTTCTGGCCTGAGTAGACCTGGCAGAGGAGGGGGTGTGCTCGATGGCCCAGTAATTGCCAGGAGCTGGTGCTAAAGCACTTTTGGACTTGAGAAAAACCAATATTAAAACATTGTTATTCTCTAACACAGGTGTCTTTCAGGCAACTTCAGATGTTCTCATTAAGCAACATAGAAGTTAGAATGTAGCCTTTCAGAACCTAAGGAAGCCTTAGAAACATCTGTTTAATCTTGTATCTAGGAAAACCCATTACAGGTTTTTAAAAAAATGTTCCTTGTGAGGGCTGGGGATTTAGTTCAGTGGTTTCACGGCCTACCTCACAAGGGCAGGGGCTGGAGTTCCATCCCTGGTACCAAAAAAATAATGTTCCTTGTAGCCTTAGAAAGGCTCACTTGAGGTGCAGGACCCATAACTTGCCAGCAGGTGGCAGTGCATAATAAACAGACAGCATTGCTACAACACCTGGCCAGGTCCTTGTCAGATTTGCAGGATTTCTGGTTACAGCCATGGGCAGGGTTACAGGCTCAGTGCCAGGAGCCAGCACCATCCAGAGAACGATGATCTCCCAGAAGTCATTAATTTAGCTTTCACTGCATTGCAGTGATACCAAGCCTTACCCCCAAAGGGTCCAGGACAAGGCTTCCGGCATTCTGGGGGAGAGATTTGGGGGTGGGAGCATGTGGTCACTTTTCCTTCAAACATCAGGATACATGAAATGGAAATGAAAATAAAAATGAAAGCAGTCTTCTCTTCTCTCTGGTCCTGGTCCCTTTCTAAGGACCCAGACCAGACCTCCAGTCCTCAGGGACAGTGGGAGCCCAGGCCAGTGCTGGGAAGAGGCGGGTTCTAGCAGCTTCTGGGCACCTGACGTCACCTTGGGCTTGGTGACCACCGTGATGGGAGGTGTGGGTGTGTCAGTGACGGGAGGCTGTGCTTGGCGTGTGGGGTGTGACGCGTGTGTGTAGGTAGCTGCACGAGTGTGTAGTGTGTGCGCGAGGCTGTGTGCAGGTGGGTGCACAGTGCACTTGGGAGGGCTGGGGTGAATAGGCGGTGAGGGTGCATGGGAGCTGCTCCCCTCTTTCTGATTCGCCGCAGGTTTCGAGTAGGGTTAGAGTCATCACCTCACGTGCCAGCGGGGAGCCCTTTCTTTTCTCTGTACTCTGTCCTTCCTTCCCAAGATGCCCCCAGAAACTTAGGGACCTTCCTGTCCTCGGGTCCCAACCCAGATCCAGGCCAGGGATGTAAGGAATGGGCAGGATGCGAGGGTCCCTGGGGGCCTCGCAGTGGTGTGGACAGCAGGTGGCAGCCTGTGGGGCTTCTGGTGCGAATTCTCAAGCAGCCTGGGTGCTCTGTCCGCAGCCCTGGCTCCCACCCTCCCAGTGCCTGAGCTGGACGTGGTGGCCGATGACAGGCACAAGGCCGCCATCGGCCTGGGAGTTGGTGGGGGGTCAGCCCTGCTTGGTGCTCTGTCCTGACCCAAGCTGAAGAACTGAGGTGCAGGAGGAAGCTTGGTGTGAGGCCTGGGCCTTCAGGACAGGAGGGTGCACGGGAGGGTGTGGAGGGGCAGGGGCTGGGGGCTCCCACCTGCCTGCGATGACCACTCCCACCAGCCCCAAGCTAAGCACTCAGGGCCTGGCAGGGAATCAGCACACTGAGATTTCAAATCTCAGGGTCAATTTGCAGACTTTGCCAATCTTTCATGGTTGACCTTGAGCAAAAAAAAAAACATGTGTTGTGGCCTCTTGAAATAACAGGATGCTCACACCTCGCACCTCGCTGGACTCAGGGTTGACACCCCGAAGAGGCGTTCCAGAGAAGGGTAAGATGTTAGCTGTCAGCCTGAGGCGTCTGACTTAATGGTGAGAGGCTTTGGCCCTCCCACAGAGCCGCTCCAGGGTGAATGGACACATTAGGAGGGGCCTTAGACCCGCAGTGGAGCACAGCAGTGGGCAGCTCTGCTCAGAGAAGCCGTGGGCTGTGGACGGAGCGTAGTCCCCAGGCACAGCTGCCCCCGTGGCCTCTGAAACCCGCTGATGCCCCCAGCCGCCAGCTCGGCTTCTCTGGGCTCCTTTTCTGCTCCCCCGGCAGGAAGGGTCTGGACCCACCGCGCTGGGTGCGGAAAGCCCTACCGAGATCCCCGCCTTCACAGGAAGGGTCTGGAAGACAGGCAGTCAGTGAACCGACTGGGGCGTGACATAAAGTCGCGAGTCTGTGTCTCCCTGCCTCCGGAAGGCAGCTGCTCACTGGGTGTGGGTCTAGAGCTGCGTCCCGGCGCCTCTGCAGCCCCAAGCCTTGCTGAATCGAGTCTCCGTGCCTCCCGAAGTACCCTGTGCTTCATATGCAGCGGGAACGGATCTGACACCTGGGCGCCTGGGCCTCTGCTGTCTGAGGAAGGCCTGCTGTGCACCCCTGTTTACCTGCTCCCGGTTCTGAGAGCCTTCGTGGGTCTCCTTGGGAGGAGGGGCCATCCCTACTTCAAGCCATGCGCCTTTGTCATCCATTCTGCCCACGATCCAGGTGTCGCTGGCAGAGACAACCCGACACAGACGTGTTTGCCCATCTGGGCCACCGCCTCGTAGTTGCACATGCTTGGAAATGAGCTTCCTGGGTCAAAGGTCACAGCTGCTGGATCCACCTGCAACTACCTCCAAGGTGCAGCCAAACCAGCGGCCGAGAGTCCTGAGGTTCTGTTGCCCCTCACAGGGCCTCGTGGAAAAAGCCAAATGTGCCCCTACATGCAGGGGCTGCCGCTCAGAGGGACGGCTGGGCTTTAAGAGTCTTGGATGGCCTGGAGAAGGCTGGTGTGGCTGGCTCCTCCCTGGACCTCTGCCCTGAGGTGGCAGTACAGACAGTTGGGGCAGGGCCTCTGGTTTACAGTCCTGAAATGAATGAATTATCCCCAGAGACCTAGGGCAGGGTTTCTAAATCACTCCTCATCTAGCTTTGATTTATCTTCAGCTTCCTCGGCCCCAGGCTGGCTGGCAGCCAGGCGTCTTGCCTCCCTGGTGCTGGCAGGCCTGATCTGAGGCATCGCCGTGAGCGCCCTGAGCCCAGGCCTCCCCGCTCTACCACAGGTTCTGTGGCATTGGTTTTCACGTATTTGGTTAGCTGAGAAGAGAAGCCTCCTGTCTGTCTGTTCCGCATCCGCTGGGTGCCAGGCCCTGTGAAAGACGGAGAAGACCTGGCCCTTTGCCTTCATGGAACCCACTGTTCAGGCGTTGACCAAAGACACACCCAGAATGTTGATAACAAGTGCAGGACAGGGAGTGAAGGTGCAGTCCTCAGCAGGCCTTAATTTTGGGGAGGGAGCCTTCCCGGGCAGCCAGGGGCGGGTCCAGGGGCTTGTCCATGCTGGGAGGTCCACCCAGCAGGGAAGCAGGGACAGCTCTTGCCAGCCCCGTTGGCCTTGGGGAGGTGACTGCTCTTTCTCCTGGAAGCGCTAGGGAGCCACAGCGGGCATTGAGCAGAGGAAGGGTTGGGATCAGCCCTGCCAACTCATTCGTGCTGGATAGCCGGGTGTTCTCGTCAAAGCAGGGTCCCTCTTCTGCCCTTCCTAGGGACTAGGAAGAAAGGGTTGAAAGACACAAGAAAGAGGAAGTGCATGGAGATGCAGAGAATTTAGAATAAACCTGTGGTTCTTAGAGATCAAGGCAGTGCACAGCGCCTCATGGCACTGGGAAGCAGCTGGAAGTGAGTTTTGTCAAATCTCACCCCGTCACCCTGGGGGTTCAGAGCCTTCACATGTGTGCATTAGGACCACCAGACAGACCCACGGTGGCCGGGAGGAGGAGAACCTTGCAGAAGCTTCCAGAACAACCGCTGGATCACCGCCCCTGGGGCCACAGCGAACAGCGGCAATATTTACCAAGTGTTTCTGGGAAAATGAGTGCAAAGCGCAGGAAATGCAGTGCAAATCGCTGGGACGCAGTACATTAGCAACATGAGATATTTAATGAGCTCGGGAAGAGAGGTGTGGGTTTCAGGAAAATGTCAGCGCGGGAATGTAAACAAAAGGCTTCTCAATATCTCCCTCCCTGTGTCAGGCTCCGGTTCTAAGGGGAGCTGTGATTCCTAGGAGACTCGGTTCTAGAGATCAAGGAGGGGAGACGTAGGGTTGGGGGGCACCCGCTCGATCCCATCTGAGGAAAACCGGAACGTCCGGCCAGCGGGCGACTGTGGACCCTGACCCTGACGAGGCGGGGCCTTGGGGTTGACTGGGGTGAGCTGTGGGGCAGGATCAGTGCTGCGACCCAGAGAGCCCCTCACGCCGCCTTAGAGCTGCAGAGCAGACTGAGGTGGGCGGAGCTGCTGCTGAAGGTCACCCAGCGTGTTTCTCTCTCAGGAAACTGGATTTCTCTCGCATGGGACGTGGGTACCCATGGCCCCGTCCGGGTGGCCCCCATGGCTCCACTGGCAGCTCAGTCTGGTGCAGGACGAGTAGGAAGCCCGCGTGCCAGCCAGCGGGACACTCACGCTTCCTCTCCCCCACAGTCCCTGACAACGTCATCGTGAAGGTGCTCAAGGGCCGCCTGGACCAGCCAGACTGCGTGCAGAGAGGTTGGGTGCTGCACGGCTTCCCGCAAGACCTGGACCAGGCCCACATGCTGGCCAGCCTGGGCTACAGTCCCAACAGGTGAGCTGGCCCCAGCAGAGCGCGCCCTGGCCACCCCTGGGTACCCTCCCGCCAACGACACAGCTGACAGGGTGCCCTGGACGGCTGTCCTTTTACAAGAGGCTTGCAGGGTTCCCGAAGCAAGCTCATCCTCAGGCTCCATTCCCACCCACCGACCTCGTTTGCCCTGTGCTCCGGGAGCCAGGCCTGGGTTCAAATCTGGGCTCTAGTGCTCCTGGCTGGACCCGAACTCCCTCCTCCTTAAAGCGACCATGAATGCCCAACAGTCTCGCCTCCCCTGTGGGTCCCTGTGCCGATCAGCTAATATCCGCCCATCGTCGCAGTTGTGTGTTTTCGCACCTCAGTCTTTGAAGTAGCTGGTATTTACTTTGGTGTGGTTGGAGAGTAGGAGTCACCTTTTCCCCACAAATGGTTAACGCTGGTTCCCAAATCGTGTTGAGTATTGTTGACTATTCTGTCCTCCCTGCACTGGTTCACACTTGAGGGCAACGTAACGCTAAAGTAGCGTAGAGAGAGACCTGCCTGAGCAAAGGCTTGCATAGCAAGGTGGGAGGCCACCACCCTGAACTAAAGGTGAAGCAGAGATGCAGGGCGGGCAGGCGGAGGAGCCGGAAGCGTTCTGGTGAGAAAGAGGTGAGGCCTCCGCTCGGGGCCGCCCTGGCGGGAGGCTCTCGGCTTGGGAAAGCTAGGCATCCTGCGGAGTGGAAAAGGGAATGTGTTTTGCCTTCTCTGCTTGACCTACCCTGACTGCGGCTGGACGGCTGCAGGCACTGGCTTGGCTTCCCTGGCAGATGCTGAAGGCTGCGGGCCCGGGTTCCGGTTTCCTCTGGGCTGGCCTCGTCCGTGTGTGCGTCCAGACTCTCAAAATACCTGGGTCCATTTCGGAGCTTTCTGTTGCTTTCCAGCGGTCTCCTTCTGCGGTGGCGCCACCCTGTGGAGGTGTGTCAGTCTGTCGCACACACCTTATTGCAACAGATGACAGACAAGCTCCCCGTCCCCCTTCTTTATGACCTATTTTGTATGCTCATTGTGCCCGGCGAGCACGGTGGTACTTCTGTGACATATGAGGGGGCACTGCCACGGGACTTGTAATGGAATCACCTTCGATCTGCGACTTGATCTGGGGCGATCTGGCCTGGCAGTACCTGTCTCTCCTCACTAGTGAAATGGTCAGTGCTTCCTTGGGGTTGTTTCTCGCGATGATACTACAGTGAGATAGTTTCATCCATTTTATTTTCTGCATGGAGTTTCCGGGAGAACAGGAGGAGTGAGTTTTGTTTATTTATCTTGTATCCAGGCTCCTTCTAGAGCTCTGCCTGTGTCTCTCTCCTGGCTCGTTGGGGTGGACAGTCAGGCCACCTGCACGTATTGACCCTCTCACCCCTTCTCAGTATCAAAACCCCCTCCTTTCACTCTTGTGCCGGTCGGGCAGTGTTTGCAGCACAGCCACGCTGGACTGGTGCTGGGGCCTGACCCGGAGAGATGTCCTGTGCTGCTGCTTTTCCTGCACCTTAGCTGCTGGTGAGAGGACTGCACACGCGTTCTCATCTTTTCTGTTAGTACACATTGGTTTCACAGATGAACAGGTTTCATTGCGGCAGATTGGCACATCGAAAAACACACCTTAGTCATTTTGTCCCTCACCAACTCCATTGCTACGCCCTCCCTCTAATTTTACATCTTTCTTTTGGAGGGGGTTTCAGTGTGTATATATTTTAATCATTTCCGTCCCTCCTGATCCCTGCCCTTATGCCCTTACCCCTCCTCCTATTCCTTTCCTCTTGTCTGATAACCGTATCCTCTTACTACAGTGCTTTTTGGAATCATCTTTTTCAATTCCACATATTAAGGAGAACCGTCGGCATCGGTCATTCTGAACCTGGCTTGTTTCATTCAACATGACCACCAGATCCATCCATTTTCCTGCAAACGACAAAAACCTGTTCTTTATGGCTGAATAGTACTGTGATGTGTAGAGAGACCACATTTTTTATACCAGTCATCTGTTGTGGGCACCAGGGCTGGTTCTAGCTATTGTGAATTGTTCCATGATGAACGGGGCGCACAGGGGACACACGTTTTTAATAAAGTTAAACAAATACAGGGGCTGGGGATTTAGCTCAATGGTTCCTCCACTTGCCTTATAAGCACAAGGTCCCGAGTTTGATCCCCGGTACAAAAACAAACAAACAAAACAAACACAGCTCCATGGATTTAAAACATCCAAATTTAAAATTTAAGTGTTGAATCTTATAAAGGCTTTTTTTTAAGGGAATTTTTTCTCTTGTGTCATATCGCTGTAACGAGCTATGTTAATAGGCTTTCTAATAGCCTTTTTTTCCCTTTAGAATGACTTTGGCTCTCAATATTATTCTTTCAATACTAACTCTCTATAGAAGATAGTATTTGACCTTTATGACCTTCACCCCCACCATCAGGCTTCTGAATGTCAAGTTATACAGCAAAAGGGATTTGGCAGATGTCATGCGGTTTACAGCCATTGACCTTACGGTACAATTCGTCCTGCTCGCTGGGTGCCCCCCCTTAAAGCAGAGGGGGCAGAAGATGAAGTCAGAGAGATTCTGAGCCCAAAAAGGACTCGACACAGGGGTGTTGGCCCACAGATGGGGCACCCATCTTCCAGCAGGAAGCCAGGTGGGAACCCCACCCCTGGCCGACACATTGGCCTCAGCCCAGCTAGACCCACGCCAGATCTCTGGCTTCCAGAAACTTCCAGATAATAAATGAGTATTTGGAGGATATTTTTATGCAATTAAGCCTGTGGTAGCATGTAGGAAAGTAATACCCTGCTGGGGTGTATTGGCTGTATTTTTATTTAGGGATTTTTTTGAATTTTTCGGCCTTTTGATGCAGTGTGATAATTTCGTAGGTTTTTGTTCTGATCTGGAAGACTTAACACCTCAGCAGTGCCAGTTCCTTGGAGCTGGCACTTTGGCGGAGTGGTAGCTTGTTAACCATTTTATCTTATTTGTGGTATTTGTTCTATTTTAATTTCTCTTTATGCAACTGGATTTATCAGTTCTACTGTTTTCCCTATATTTCATTTTCATTAATTTTAATGATATCTTTTTGTGTTGGGTTTATTTTGTTCTTTTCCTCAAAGCATGAGCAAAATGGATAATTCCCTTATTTTCTGTATTCCTTGTTTGGTAGTAAAATGGTCAAGGCTTACAGCTGTAGCCATATCTCATAGTGTTCATGCATAATGTTTTTATTTTTTGAGGGTATGGTTTAATTTGCTTACATTTGAGAGTTGTTTAGGAGAGTTCACAAATTTCCAAGTCATTGGCATTTTGTTGTTACTATTTCAAGTTTTATGATTAGTTTTCTCCTTTCAATACAAAATATGGAGAATTTATGTATGTACAACTTTGAAATTTTTGAAAGTTTTCTTCTGTGGGTAGTTGTTCAATAAGTGCTTGAAAATACCATGTATTTTGCATTTTAAGTTATATAATTAAACGTATTAGGTCAAACATTAATTTTTTATTTGCTTTTTGTTTGTTTGCTTTTGTTTTCATTTTGTTTTTTTTGTTTTTGGTACTGGGGATTGAACTCAGGTCCTGCACTTGCAAGGCAGACCACCGAACTGCTGAGCTAAATCCCCGGCCCTGTTTTTGTTTTTTTGAGATAGGGTCTCACTGTGTAGTTGAGGCTGACCTGGAATTCACTGTGTAGCCTAGGCTGGTCTCAAACTCACAGCGTTCCTCCTGCCTCAGCCTCCCAAGTGCTGGGGTGACAGGCGTGTGCCCCCATGCCCGGCTCAAACATTAATTTTATCATTTAGATCTTCTATATCCTTACCTCCTTTTTGTTGTTGTTATTGGTGATGGTCATCTAGACCTGTGGGGGACTAAACAATTTGTTAACTTCCTGTTAATATTACGTTTTTGTTAGCTTTTACTGTGTTTCCTGTGGTTTTCGCTTTATGTTTTGGTGCTATGTTATTTAGTACATGAAAGATACAGAAGATACATTTGAACTAATATACAGTGTATTAATTATATTGTAACTTTAGATTTAAAACGCGTTATTTTCCATGTATTGGATGTGCAGTGTGTTTCTAGGCTCCTTATTCGACATCAATCTCCCCTTCCTCCTCTGAAACAAAACCTCCATTTGCCGAGAAGTACATCGTTGTATGAAAATCAGAGGCTATTTCCGGTCTTCGTAGTAGATTCGTGGGACCACACTGCTAAGTTCTAGCCAGTGACCCTTGAACATAGAGCTGTGTCCTGCAGAAAAGCTCCGTTAAAGGAACTGCCTCACCTAGAAGGAAGGAGTTAGCTTTTCGTTTGTTGTCTTTTCAAGCTTGTCACTTTTTCTGAAGTTAAGGATCGCCTTTCACTGGCCTCGTTTGCTTTGTCTCTGTTTGTTAACATCTCCGCATCCTGGGGCCTCTCAGAACAGTGTTCCTCAAAGTCCCCCCACCGTGTTCCGTAGCACCCCATTCCAGGCTGTCCTGGTGACTCCCATTACGCTGTCGTCCCGGCTGGTTTTTCTCTGGGCTTGCAGCACGGCCGATGTCCTAGGACTCATCTTTACTGGAATCAGAGGACTCCCGCTGGCTCCCTTCTGAGTCAGAGTCCCTGTTTCCCATACACATCTTTTCCTCTTTTTTGTATATAGGAGGAGTGATCAGAATGTAAAAGTGCTGAAGTACTTATTGCAGTAAGACACACTGCCACAGTCCTCGTCAGAATCTTCTCCTCCTCTTCAACACACTCACCCCTCTTTTCTTGGCGTTTTCTGAAGCGGTTCTGGAAAGTCCTCTTTCCTGAGTGTCTTTACCTGATGCCATCAAAACTGTGGTGATTGTCGCTGCCAGGCACCACCCGGCGGAAAGGCAGGCCTGTAAAAACACGAGGCTGTCCTCATCCACCTTACTGACATCTGGCTTTTCCCAAAGTCACGGTGACTGTGAAAGGGAAACATTTTGAATCAGGTCAGTTCGAGGCAGCCACGAGAGCGCAACTGAA